TTCTCAGCTTACTATGAATTTGATGATGATGCTATTTTCACAGTCCAGACATCACTTGAACTGAACAATATTACTCAGGTCATATTGTACGGAATTTGAGATTCTTTTGGAAAGAAAAGACAGTTGCCAAGGGGAAAAAAGAAAGAAAAATATACTTGCGGAAATTTCTGAAGCTGCCAAATAGACAGAAGCCAGATGCAGTGCTCTTAGAGCTTCTCCAAGATCCCTCTGTCGCCTGAGTAGTGACTTCATGCTTACTGACACTGTGTCGAGAAATCACAATTTGTGGAAAAAGACTGAAGGAAACCCAGGTGCCTTAATGTAGAGAAGACTAGTGGTGAGAGATGAAAATAGTGTTCAAATAATTTTATTGGTAGTTGCACAGAGGAAAGAAATAAATTCCTTTGGTGATAGGATATAAGAATAATGGGTGAAATAATTATTTCAGTGAGAATAGCAAAACAGCCCGTAAGGAACTCCTTGATTTCCATCAACAAAGTACTTTTACAACATGTTGGTGACCACTTGCCAGGAGTGTTGTAGGGACAGTTGGAAAAGAGGCTGAACTAAATGTCTCAAGGTCTGTGATTTGTCATTTGCTATTAACTAGATACCTATTTAAACATCTACAAAACTTGGTAAGAGCTTTCTCATCTTTGGCTGATACTCCCTTTGATCCTTGACTTTGGCCAGAAATGTGAGCTTATGAAATGTTTTTACCTTTCTACTCTTCAGTGAAAGCATTGTTTCTGTCTCCATTTGCATATTATTCTTAGTTAAAATTTTCAACAGTTTTTCAATTCTAGGAGTTGGTGTATGTTAATTTACTGACTAACCAAACCTGTGAATTTTCCATCTCTAAGGTCTTGTCATCCCTCTATCCGTATCCTCCTTTTATTTTTTATGTTTTTATCTCTCTTCTTTTTCCTGACATCTGACTCTCCAAAAATTTTTGTGGAGCTTCATCTTCTGTAGTCAACTAAGCAGAAATGTTATTCAGAACTTCTGACTCATACAAAAATAAATAAGTATTGCCAAGACCCCAAAGTCCAGGCAAGGAAGTTCCAATTGAAGTGTTTGAAACCAATGAGTCTGGACTTTGCAGGATGAGTCACCTACTGCCATATGTGTTGATTTGAATAAAATAACAGTAGAGTTCAGAAGTTCTTGTACATTGTTAATCATGTCACCCTTCTCCATCACAGATATAAATATGTTTGTGCATAGGTGCAGATTTAAATATTTAAAGATTCCTTGAAAAAAAAATTAGATCATTCCTTTCAGACAAAAACTATTGATGAAAATTCTCACATCTCCCTTGCTACACAAAAAAGATAATTTCCAAGAAAGCAAACTTATTTTTCCATTGCTATATCTTATGAAGCCTAGGGAACCAGAAGTTGGAAGCATTAGAAAGTTCAGTTCCATCTGTAGACATTCTGATCTATTTCTTCAAACAAGAAAGACTTTAGAAGCAGGTACCCCATTAGATATGTGACTATTTTCTCATCTCTGTTCTTTTTTTTTTTTAATTAAAAAATAGTAAAAGCTAAAGCTATGTCTTTTTTTAAATTAAAAAATAATAAAAGCTACCGCTATGTCTATCTGTTCCCAGAAATAGTTTGCTGTCACTTTGGTCTTTACTGGCTTGTTTCTATCTGTTTTTTAATTCAGACCAATTCTATTTATTGCCACATTACATAATTTAAAATTTACTACATTAATATTAAATAATTATGCATAATATTTATAATTAAGATGTAAGAATATCTTTACATGACTGGGGGTTATTTTTCATACAGTCAAAATTTAATAAGAAATCATATGCATTGCCATGAGTATACCAGCACAATTAAATTGTTTTGTTCACATCTTTTCATAGCCACTATGTGGTTATAATAAAGTTTGGTCTGGCCTTTTGGGATTTGGAGTAATTTCTGTAATTAATCCTCCTGCTCTAACTTCAGAGTTTTGATATGCAGTACTTTTCTTCTTGCAGTCTACAGCCAAGTGAGACTTCTGGGATTGAACTAAGACAACACACTGTGTTGTGGTTTAACTCCAGGTGGAACTAAGTCCCAGCAGCTGCTCATTCACTCCCCCACCCCTGCCTCAAGCGAGGAAAAGAGTGGATAGAAAAGGTAAACCTCATGGGCTGAGATACAAACAATTTAATAATTGAAACAAAATAGATACTAACAATTAGACACTACTACTACTAATTGTATGGAGAGAGAAATAAAATCCAATAGAAACAAGAGATGCACAATACAATTGTTCACCACCCACTGATGCCCAGCCTGTCTCCCAGCAGCCATTGACGCCTCATGGCCAACTCCTTCCCCATTAATATACTGGGCATGATGTTCTGTGGTGTGAAATATCCCTTTGGACAGTTTGGGTCAGCTGTCCTGGCCATGATCCCCTCCATTCTTGTGCACCTCCTCACTGGTAGAGCACAGGAAGCTGAAAAGTCTTTGACTTAGAGTGAGAACAACTCAAACCCAACTAAAACATCAGCCTGTTGCCAACATTATTCTCATATTAAAGCCAGCACTGTACCAGTTACTATAAAGAAAATTAACTCTATCCCATCTGAAACCAGGACAGTTTGCTTTACTGATTTATTTTGTACTACCTGGGATACTTAAAAACCTCCACAACTAACAGAGAGGTACCCATTTGCTATGGTACACAGCTGATGCCTAACAGCTGCAAAAAGAGACATTTTTACATCGAGATAGCCAACTAGAACTAACAAAGTAAGAGCTGAACAAAGGGCATAGGACAAGTTTTGGCTCAGGTGACTTTTTCCAAGGGAAATCAACACAATACATCTCAGCTTAACTACATCTACTCTCAAAAAACCCCCCAAAAAAACAACAAAAAAAACCCAAAAAACCCCAGAAACTCAAGAGTAGCTCAATTTCATATTCATATTTACATAGAGATTTTAATGTGCTGGTGATTTTTTGGGTTTGGTTGTTTGGGGTTTTTCTTTTTGGTGTGTGGTAAAGATATTCTGCAAGTCTGCACTGACAGAGGAAACACTGGTATCTGTTATACTTACCAACATCTCTGAACCTAAAATAGTAGAACAGAAAGCCTTGAAGGACTTCTTGGTGTATTTCTGGAGCAGTGATTTAAAAAAAGATTTGATCTTTTCTTTAAGGACTTCCTTCACATAAGTGGAAACAGATTTTCCTTTTGAAAAGACTCAGTTTTAGTTTATTTTTTTCTCTGCTTGACTTTTATTCGAACCATCTAGGTTTTTTCTGCTTATGAAGAGCATGTGGTAATTTGGAAACTTACAGCACACTGTACTTCAAGTAACGATGAAGGAAAGGCTATTTGGTCTTTTCAGCATGGAAAAAGACGTGTACACCTTGGTGTACATGATTCCCATGTACATGGGAATCCCATGATTATGTGCATGTCAACTGTATTAGATAATGAATTAACTTGTGAAGTTCCAAAGTGATGAGAGAAACTATGCCCTCTGGATCTGAAATGATGAACAGGTAAACAGACAAACCAGATAAACAAGTTTGTTAAGGCCTTTCCATTCTCTTTAATTTAATCAGAAAATTCTCTTGAAGAATTGCACACCTCAGGCAACATGTCAATTATTTGGGGAACAATAAAGTACTCTTCACAATGGACTCATGAGCTCCTCATTACATCTAGCATGTAGTGAGTTTTTTTGGCAAAACTTATTACTTAAATTAAGAGGTGGTTAGGGTATTTATCTACCCCCAGTTATGATCTGTGAGGAGAAACACTGCCTACTTTAGAGTGAACATGAAAAAGTCATTTGTTTCATGCATAAGAAGAGCTGCTTATGCTAGAATAACTGTCACCTTTGCAATGCCTTTAAGACAAGTTTGAAGGAATATGAGGTTCCAGCTGAGTATTTTCCATCTGAGAAATTGTAAGTGCCTTTTAAAGGTAAGCAAAACCCATAACTCCCTAACCCAGGAATATATGCACTATTGTGTATAAAAAAAATCAACTCTCTCCACCTATTGCCATCAACATTGGTTCATTCCCATTCACAAAATGAACATTTCTTCACTCCACCAGCTTTTTTATTATCTGCTTCAATTGTTAGGTCACATAATACACATATGCATTCACTACATACAGAGAAATACACGTTCATCACCAGTATTTATCCACACCACTATGACTGGTGGCCCACTGATTGAGTCAATTCACTTTGGCAATGAAGAATCATCTTCCTGAAACTGACACTGAGCAACTCGAAACTGTTTGGGTTCACTGCTAGGTTTGGTACACAGCTCCCACTTCTGGGTAACTCACTTATAAACTACCAGAGCTAAAATCTTCCTTTTCATAATGTAGCAGGAGGAGATACTGTTTCCTAATCTTACTCTTTAACTTTTATCTCCTTGTGATGAATGAAAAATGGGCTTCAATTATTCACACCATCTTCTTATCCAGCTGGCAGTAGGGAAATAAAGGCACTTTTTATTTTTTTCCCCGCTTAAGGAAACTTCCCATGAGAGAAACACTAGGGTGTACGTACTCACTTCACACAAGCTGCTGTGAGCACAGCAAATCTGTACTTCCTCCTTCCCGCAGCACAGGCCTGTCCTAGGCGCTGGTCTGCCAGGCGGATCCAGCTCTGGGCTGGCCCTGTGGCCTGCGAACGCGTCCTGTGGGCTGGTGCGCGACGGTGGCACCCACCGGGAGTGCCTGCTCCGTGGCCTCACGAGTCTTGAGGGTCCCGCCTGCAGCGAGGAGTCATCGGTGAGAGCAGGCAGCCTTCCCTCCGAAGGCCGTACTCACCTAGGCACGGGACACATCACCCACCGTTTCCTACAGTCACTGCGCGGAGCCCAAGGGTGGCAGCCCCGCTGTGCCCCCAAGGGGACAGAGGTCCTGGCGGCGATGCGCGGCCGCCCGCCGGCCCCGCCCCGGCCTCTCGTTCCTCATCCCTCTCGCCCCACCCGCGGCCGGGCAGCGGCCGGCGCCCGTCAGGCCCCGGGCAGCCCGCCCAGGTGCGGACAGCGCGGCCGAGCCCGGCTGCCGAGGCGGAGGCGGCACCGCAAGGAGAACCAGCTTCCCGCCGGCGGCGGCCTCGCGGCGGCGAGCGCCCGGGGGCAGCGCCGACCCCCGCACAGGAGCTGCCCCTCGGAAGCGCATGGGGAACGGGAACGCCGGTGGTGCTCATCCCGCAGCTCGGCCCTGGGGCTGCGCGGAGGCGGCCGCGGCTGGACCGGCGCTCGCCGGCTCGGCCAACCCCGCACCGCACAGCGCCGCGTCCAGGTGCGCCCGCCCCCGGCGCCCGGATTGACCGCGCCGAGAGCCAATCGCCCGTGAGGAATCGCGGCAGCTGCCCAATCAGCGCTCCGGAAATGGGATGTGGGCGGTGCCCCGGGGACAGCGGGCTCGGTGGCGCCGCGGCCGAGGAAGGGCGAGCGCGGAGGCGGCGGCGCGGGTGAGCGCGGCCGTGCTCCGGCCGGCAGTGCCGCAGGGATGGCGGCGGCCGCGGCGAGGGGCTCGACCCCCATGGGGAGCGCTGCGAGCCGCCCCGTGACCCGCTGAGCGCCCTCCGCCTGCGCGCTGCCGTTACCCCTCCCCGCGGGCCGGCCCGGCTCTGCAGTCGCCATAGAGACCGCGCCGCACACCATGGGGCGGAGGCTGGGCCGGGGGGCGCCGCTGTAGCCCCCGCCCCGCGCCGCGCACACCATCCCCTGTGGGGCCGGGGGCACCGCCGGGACTCGCCGTGCCGCCCCGAGGAGCCGCCGCCTCGGCCCCGTTCCAGGTGAGGATTCGCGGTGCTGCGCCGCGGCCGCCGCCGTTACCCGCGCCCCGTCCCCGCGGGCGCTCCGGCCGCCTCGGCGGGGCGCGGCCCGCGGGCTCCGGCACTGCCGGCCCGGCCCCGGCGGCTGCTGCGTGGGAGCCGCGGCGCGGTTTCGGTCCCCGTGGGAGAGGGAGTTTGCCGGGCGCGGGAGCTCCGGGGGCCACGGCCCGCCCCGGGAAGGGCTTATTCCAGCGGGGCAGGACGGGGCGATCCCCTCCGTGGAGTTAAGGTCGGCAGGTCTGGCCGGCTCCCGCAGCAGTCACCGCTGCCCCGGCCTCTACGGAGAACTCAGATTTATAGGCACGAGATTTTTTTTTTTTTTTTTTTTTTTTTTTTTCCCCCCCACTTGCTGCAAGAAGGCGAATGGTACAGAAATTTACGTGTTCTGACGGCGAAAGATCTCTGTTTTAAAATAGCTGCGTCTGTATTTCCAGCTCTGGGTTGTGGCATGCGTGTGACGGCTGCTGTGTGGGCACGGCTGGATGGGAAGCGGGCTGTCTGTCGCCTGGCGCTCTGAGTGCTGGAGCCATTAGCGGCACTTGCATCGATCCCTGCATACAGATACGCCTGGCTAGGCCGCGGGTGCGCGCACCACGGCGCTCAGGGCAGCACAAACTGCGTGTGGAACGGCGTTAAAAATACGTTATTGCACGTACTTTTAGCTTTACAAAGAGGAAGTGGGAAGGCGCCTGGTTCCCAAGTCTACAGATGATCTCTGGAGCTGCAGCGGCATCCTTAGGCTTCTGTTGTCACTCTAAAGCAAAAGCAATGAGAGGACAAAGCTTGCTACGAGGTTTGTACCCTCTGTTGTGAGCCAGAGCAGTTGGAAACAACTGCCAGTGTAAGTGGGGGTGGGAGTGCAATAATGATAATATTGATGTAGTATCGTGGGGGCGGAGGCAGATGGACACAAAGGAATGACCCCGGAGTATACCTCAGCATTTTGAGAACCTTTCGCTGTATTTATAATTAAGCTGGAAAGGGCTATAGAAAATGAGTTCTAAAGTAGCCTGTAGTGGCTTTCTTAGTTATGCTCTGTGTAGAACCAGTGTAATTCCAGCTTAAATGTTCTGAATTAATAAACTATATTGGAGGAATGCTGAGAGCCTTAAAATAAATCATACTCTATTTATTTAAGTATCTTGTTAGCCTTAAAGTGTGTGGCTAGTTTCCGTGTTGTGGCTCTGGAAAAAAATGAGTAGATTTTTAAAATGCATTCTGCATAGTTAATGCTATGCCTTTGTTAAACACATGCTAGCTATGCTTGTAGGTATGTTAGTTCATTTTATCTGAGGAAAATAAAAGGTTAGGACTTATTTTGCTGCTCTTATTTGATTTTGGTCATGTTTTTTGAAGTCTTAATTGTATGAATTCATGATACAAAGATACCCAGAATTTTTATTTTGTGTTAATGTTGTCCTGAATGCTTTCTTGATGATTATTTGTTTGCTTTACAGTGTGAATTATGTTTAACAAAGTAGTAGAACTTTCTTAGCCTGTTAAACCAGAGGTATACTTGTTAACATTTGTTTGGCCTGTCAATGAAATTATATATAGGAAAGTTTGACTGCAATAGTATGAGTAGTCATTTGTCAAAAGTTATTTTGAACACAGTGCATCAATATACATTTTTAAAAAATGTGAAGATGGAACAAATTATCTGTAAAAAATACTTTGTTATTCTCTAATATATTCCTGATGTACCATTATTTACTTGAAGCTCAGCATCTTTTTGAACTTCCTGTTTGGGAAGGATGAGGTTAGAAGAGAAGAACAAATTGGGTGACTGGAATATCGTGATGTCACTTATGTTTTGTGTTCACTGTACTGCTGCTGCATACTGCAGGCTCTGATACTTCTAACAGCACAAATTCCAGAGACACTTTTCTCAGTATGGCTGATTATATCAAGAAGATTTTTGAGTATGACAGATGAGAGATATGAGTGGGGTTTTCCTTGTTTAAAACCGACTTCTAAATGATCAGTTTGTGTACAGAAGGTTAAGCATTTGTTTAGTGTGTGAAGTTGCAGTGTGTGGTATATTAATATACTACTGTGTTTTCTGTTTTACTAAGGGCTTGTTTGTTTAGTGGGAATGAATTGGTACTTTGCAAAGGAGATTGACAGTTTCTGTGTATTCCTGTGTCTTGCCTTGTCTGTTTCTTTTTCTCTGGGGAAGCACTGCACAAAGCCTTTGTGTTAGGCTGGAGGGGAGGAGGAACAGCTGCCTTTTCAGTACAAGACCCCAGGATTTGTTGTGGTCTCCCAGGGATGTGTTGTGGTGCATGGACCAGCCACTGTCCTTCCTCATTCTGCCAAAATGCTCTCACCTCAAGAAACCTGAGCTTTCTTTGACTGATCTCTCAGAGCAGCGAGGTGTACAATGGATCTAACAGATCAGTCTGAAGAGCTAATTGTTGAAGTATTGGTGGTCAATAATTGAAACATGAAAAATTGCCAAAATATAAGGTTTATCTTAAGGAATTCAAAATATACAGGTCATGTGTGTTTACAATTTTCTTGTTATGAACTTGACTTCTTGTTCAGGATTAGGGTGAAAGAAACTTTTTCAAATCTTTTACTTGGCTTTTTTTTCTGTTTAAGAGTGTAGTATCTAGGGTACTTGAGTGGGAATTAAACATGTTAAGTTTTAGAAGTAGAGATAAAAACTATTTCAGTTGGATACAACTAAATGGAGCAGTTTAATTTTTCTGCTTTCCACGCACAAGTAGAGTGCTCTAATGCTTGTACTGTGTTCTCTGTTATGCAGTGGCAGAATAAAAGAGGGAGGTTGGCTTCCTTCTTTTCATGAGAAGTATTGGGTCCTATCTAATGTGGATTTTAGTAACTATATCTTGTATGTTCTTTCATAATAACTTCTTTAAAAATATCATCTAGTCATTACTTATTCTTTGCAACTTTATTTATTTATTAAAATTTTAGAGTCAGAATACTCCCTTCTCCTTGCTTCAGTGGTAGGTGTTTAGTAGTGTGCTTTTGAGAGAATCTACTAACTTGGGTTTTTTTAATCTGCTCGTGAAATTGAGATGCCATCCTTAGTCATTTAAATTTATAGTCTATCATTCTCTATGAGCTTATAGGTCACTAGTCTTGAAACCTAACTGTGGAAAATTCAAGCAATAAAGTCTGGCCTTCTGATCCTTCACCTCTTGATCTGGTTATTTCTTTTCCCATTTTTGAGACGTTGTATAAGTCATAACTTTTGAACAGTTTTTTTTTCAAAATTATTTTTCAGTTAATGGAAATGAAACCTGGAAAGCTTGAGAAGGTTTTTGGAGTGAAGGGAAAGATTTAATTTGAGAGGGGAGAGGAAAGGAGGGCAGATTGAGACACTGAAGATGTATTGAGTGTTTTCAACAAAACTATTTTGTTAAAAAAATAAAAATTTTTTTTTGTTGTGTTCAGGTATGTTTTTCTGTGGTTCTTGTCCTGTGTGTTTGAGAACTTTTCATCACAGAATTGCATCATTCAAATGTTATTTCATGCTGTTGCTTTTTGTCTGAAGAGGTTAATCAATTATTAAGAATTGCACTGATGAGGAACTCTATCCACTAATTCTTCCTTTTGGAGAAATGTGTGTATGTAGCTTAACCTTGCATTTCAGTGCAAGTAGTAGTTGGAAGAGTTGAAGGCCTCTTTCATGGATTAAGTTTGCCAGATCACTGATGGTACTGATGAGGAGAGTAGTTTTCTTTCCAGTACAAAGCTGTCTGATGTATAAATGAAGAGTAAAATATGCTGAACTTGCTTTGAGAGTTTGTAGAGGATGTCAAGTCTTTTTAATATGTAGCCATATTTTTCTGTCTGGGTGTTGCAAAAGGACTTATTACTTGTTGCAGGGACAGGTTACTAATGTGGAACTCAGATGCAGAAAACCATAAAAAATCAGTTTTTTTTGTCATCCTGGTCTGTTTATATAGAAATAATTTTAGTATGTTTTTGATACACTTCTCTCACAACTGAAGTTATACAAAATTGTTCCACAAGACTCATTTGTAGTTAGGAGAGATCTTGGCTTTCAGAGCTTGTGTTTTTTGAGTAGATGGGAATTGTCTTCAGTCAACAGCTGCTTATTGATTCTAGGAGGGGGTTCATTCTGCTCTCTGTCACTTCCCAGATAATTCTTAGACAGTATTTGTTGCTTCTGTCATGCTCTGTCTCAGAGTACTAGTTTTGTGAGGGTTTTAACAACACTTATTTGATACAATGTTGTTCAACATAGTAAGAATTAGATTGCTTGGTTACGTGGTGTATCAGCAGGATGTGTCTTGTAGCTGTCAAATTTACTTGTTGCCATAGTAATGCTTCAAATGCCACTCGTGGCGAGCAGTGTGACTTTGAGCATATGAAGTATGACTCTGGCTTTGCAGTATTGAAGAATTAAAAAAAGAGAGGCAGTGATCTGTAAATAGAATATACTTTTCAGCATCAAACTGATGACTTTTTAGAATGCATTTGTATTCTTGAGTTATATGCTGCCTTGAAATAATTATTTTATTGTCTTTCATTTATCAGCATCTTGAGCTTAATCGATCTAGAATGGGCATTATCAACTGATAGAAAATGTATCAGATGAAGAATGACTGTGCTATTGCTTGAATTTGATTGAATTGAATGCCCTGTTCATATGTGATGTTTTGATTTTCCATCTACAGTAGTCTATAAATAAAATCAAAGTATAATTCCCTGAGTCAAGTCAGCCTAGAACAAGCTGTCATGTTGCACTCTGAGAGTTAAAGAAGAGGAATTGACATTGGATCACTGTTCTTTTTCTGTGTGATGTTTTGTGCTTTTTCATTAAAATCTAGATATTATTGTGAGAATCATGATTGTTTTGGGTGAAATTACAGTTCTACAGTTTTGAGCAAGACAGTGTATCCAGTGAGGAAGCCTGTTGAATAATTTATCTGGTTAGAGAAAAATCTTGAAAGAATCACAGGCTAGATTAGTATGAAGAAAGAATTGACTGGTTTTGTGGGAGCAACGTGCTAGCTAAGCCAGTCAGGTCTTGTCTTGACCAGCCAAGAACTAAGAAATTGATGCTGAAGCTGAGGAGCAAACCCCAGTAGATCGTTACCCCTCCCACAGTAAAGTAGATGTACGTGGGAAAGAAGCTCCGTTATTGACTGTCTGGTGATACTTGTTGTTTATTTATGGATGTACACAGATATAAGAATATTTTTCACATGTTAACTCCTGCAGGTGTAAATGCACATTATTGTTAAATTGGTCTAACAGTTGGCTACTGCTTTTAAATGGAAAATTATGTTCCCTGCCTGAGCCTTTTCTAGCTCCCATTGATCTCTGAGCTACACTGAGTCAACTCACTAACTTGGCAGAATGATTGTAAAAATGGAGTTGTTTGTATTGTTTTTTGGCTGATATGTGTTTGTAACTCTTGCTAGGTCATGCTGTTATGTGCAACTTCACCCTGAATGCATAGCTGAGATAGTCATAACCAGATCCTTTCGTTTACTGTAGCCTGCATGCTCAGCTGGCAGGTTTTCCTGCCTATTGTCAGTTCAGGGAGGACACAAGAGAAAGAGGAACATTTTATGTGAAAGGCTGCTTTGAGGTGATGGTGCACTTTCTTCTCTGTTAATTTGAAGGAAATTTGGGCAGGATGCTGATTTCAGGCTGGACATTTCCTGTTGTTCTGATATATTTAATTAATTTTGAGCTCAGGATACCTCAGTCATATGGCAGTGCTTCTGTATGTATCTTTCCTTGATCAGTCAATTTTCCCCTCGTAATCAGGGAGCAGCTGTACTTCGTCTGGCTTGTTGGAACTGGCAGTTAATACTTCAGTTCTATTGTGAGGCCCTGCATCACCATGTAATGGCTTACTCAAATATTTCTTTTTCCTGGAGTAAAAGTTTGGACAAAATTGATTTATAGTCTAAATCAGGACTGTGGCTGACATATGAGTAGCCATGCAGTAGATGTTGCTCATATTTAGTATTGACATATTATAAAGTGCATTTATACTCCTTGCTCTGAAACACATAAAAGCTGAATCTTAGTCTTAATAAATAAGAATGTAGTTATTACTTCTCTTGACTGTATTATTTGGTATATATTTGGTATAATACTTCTGGTATTACTAAAAAAAATCTGACTGTACACATATTTCACCCATATCATTGAATATTTCCTTTTTCTCATTAGAAATCTCATAACGCTGCTTGTCATATGATTGTGTATCCACATTATGCTCTTACAGAGTAGAAATTACTTGTTGTTGTTTAAATAATTATTTCAAAATTCAAAAATATCTTACCACAGTTTAAAATTTGATATCCTCCAAGCAAATTTAATGACTGTTGGTGTTGGTATTTAAAAAAAAGAGGAAAATTCTTACAACATATGTCAATAGAATTGTATTTCCTTTATGTAAATTCAAAAAACTTAGAGAATACTGCTATCAATGTAGAGTTATTACACTTTGCCATGATGGTGTCATGTGTAACTATAGGAATATAAAAAGGTAAAAGATTTTAGAAAGCGTAAAAAGGCTTCAGAAAGTAGATATAAAGCTGAGAAAAGCTAGTATGTAACTGTTTCTATATCTACCAAATTAAATCTCCTCTCAGTCAATCTGAAGTAAAATTTCTAGTTTTAGACAAATTATTTGTAAAGATCAATTGTTCAAACATTTAAAATATACTAATATGGTGGGTTATAGGTCAACAATACAATCAGGATTATTTTTGTAGCCCGGTCTTTAATTTGGAGAGATTTGGAATTTAATTTCTTTATTTACATACAGCCAATATTTCCTAAAACATGTAACACTGTTAAGCAATGCTTTTTTGCTTTTTGTTATTTAAGTAAGGGATAAACTGAAAGCCTGTAAAGGTTTCTGAGAAACTTTGCTCTTTTGTTTGTAGGGATAATTGTACACTTGTTTTGAAGATAGTTAAATTCTGATCTTGCATTGTCCACTCTTCTGATCTGTGGGAAATTCTTATAATTTTTGTGTCTCTTGACCCCCATGTTTGTAATATATAAACCGATTTTCATGCCTCGTTGTTCTGCCGTGTTTTATTTTTTCAACTGATCCTGGAATGTTTTTTCTGAACTTAAGACAGTCCCAGCAAACTATGCCTAGGATAATTGTATTTTCATAATGAAATATGTTTGTATAATTAACTTTCAAAGACAAAAGCCTCATCACTTAACTCAATCTGACTGTGTGAAGGCCAAGGGAATTGTTGTGATTATTTGGGCTAACTTTATGTGTAAAACCAGCTTCCCTAGGACTTCCCTGAATTATGGGTGCTAGCAGTAGTAGAAAATATAGTGTAGAAAATCATTGTGGTGTCTTTTAAGAGTTGTCAGTAATGAAGAATCCACTGAAAGAGTTAATGAAGTATTCTATTAGTAAAGTACCTTTATTAATGAAAACTAAAGATCTTGGAGATATTTGTATGTGTTTAAGGAATCTAAAGATTTGACCTTTTACTTGTATGATATGTGTGTCAGAATGAAGATCTTTTGCAATTTCCTTGAGTAAAGTAAATTCTATTAGATAATCTGAAGGAACTGAGCTTTTTAATTTTGGACACCAGAATGGGATATAATGTTGTAGCAGCAATCCTACAATGAGGATAGAGAGGTATTATGATCTCTGTTAGTATTTACTTGCCTATTCATCCATATTTGTCATAACTTTAGTGCTCCAGTATATGCATATATCAGAAGTAACTGATTAGTTCATCATGTTATGTAATGTTTCCATTTATTCTTTGATGCTTGATGGATAATGTCTTCTTCTATGTAAGTTGGCACGTGTGTAGTTTGATTGTTGTCTCTGTAACCTGTTGATGCCACTTATCTCTTATCACTTCCCGATCTCAGCATCAACTACAAACTTCATTGTTTTTTCCTGAGTAAAAAATGTTTCAGTATTAAGTAAGAAATTGATTCCTATGGGAGCAGTTAGAGAGATATTTGTTCAGTTCACTTATATTTTGGGACCTATTATTTAATGTATGATCTATTGATTTTCTGGCAGAAACAGACTGTACTATGTGATATAAACTCAGATGTCTTACAGAAGCAGAAGTTTCATAATAACTATTATCCTTATAGGCCAAACCTGTAATGCCATAGTAAAACGTTAGTTTGATAGGAAGGGGAATTTAATTGAATGGCTGTAGCTATAGTGTCTTCCTTTAGTTCTTTATTTGTCAAGTCCCCTTATTTGTCTAGAGCTGATGTCCAGCTGATGGCCCATAGTTACCCAAGTAGCTTCATTTATCCTTTCCAAACTTTAACGTCAGTTATCTTCTGGAGTGTTCTGCGTTTCAGGAACCCTTAAACATTCCTGTTGAGATACAAGTTATTCAAACGCGCGCTTCTCAACCTGTCTGAGCGGGTAGCATCTCACTAGTCCGCGCGGTGTCCCGGAGGGCGCGGCGCGGGGCTGCCGTGGCGGCCCGGCCCCGCTCGCTGCCGCGGAGCTGGCCACGGTGCTGAGCCGCCCGCCCGGGCTGCCCTTGTCCCCGGCAAGCGCTCAGCTGCTCCGCTGCCGGAGGAGGGCTGCCACTGACGGGAGCGCCTCCTTTTCTCCTGGCACTGTATCCTGGCACTTGCACAGATAACCTATATGCCTTTGCTGCTTATATCAGAAAAAAACTCTACTGTGAAAGTTTTCCCTGAGCCACAGCTGTTGGCTTTCTCATATCTCCAGTCATGCTAAATTCATTATTGGGATCAGATTCTTTGCTGTCCAAATTTTACCAAAAGCACTTATACCACCCACAACCAAGGAACTTCTATAAGTGCATTGGCATTCACTGTGTATTACGGTGAATTTTCAGACAGTGTATAAAAGGCAAAAAACATTATTCTACCTGTAGCCTAACAACTTTCACAAAGCACCTCAAGAGAATCCTATAAAACAGCCTCCAAAGATGAATATGGAAAGTAACACTTAGCATCTATAAACAACTTCCAGCTTACTGGAAATATTAGTTTAATTTTTTTTTCCTCCATGACCTACAAAGTCCTGCATGCTGTATTTTTGTCCACATCACTTTTTAAAAAATTTTTTTTTGATATTGTAAAGATCATCAGTGATAACACTGGTTTAAATTATTGTTATTTAACATACCCCTCTCCCGTTACTTTAGTAATTCACTTAAAAAGATATCATTCCCATTTGGTAAGTGTTAGGCCATATTCATTTGAATCTATATGTATCTACATTGCCAAATCTGCTGCCATTTTTTAAAGTAGTTATGGTTGAATGCATGAATCCTCATTGATAGGGTTACAAAGTTCTGTATTTCTGTAGTGTACATGGAATAGATTTGTAAATAATGTAAGCATATATGTGTGTATCATAAAAACACATAGATGTGTGATGTATATATACAGTTATGTATTAAAAAGTGTGTTGTGTCATATTCTTTATAAAAAAATATGTTACCATAGCAGTATTATAAATAATACTTTGTTTCTGATTCCCTGAACTGATTTTTGCTTTGATGCAGTTATACCTGAGAGTCTTGAAGAGAGAAGCTCTTTGATGGCCACCTCAGCAATTATGAGGCAGTAGAAACAAGAAATGTGAGAGAAGCATGAGCATGTTTGCACATGTAGCACCTTCCTCCGTCTCTCTCACTTTCCCATTTAGTTCCTTTTCCTCAGGCCCTTTCTGGTGAGACCTTTGGATGCCCTTCTGCTGTGCTGCTTGCATGGCTCTCAGGCAAGAGCTGGGATTTCTTGACATGGCTGCTATTCTGTGTAGCGTGAAGTCAAAAGGCTAGAGCAGAGTGAAACATGAGGGCACCTGAAGGAGGCGGCTGTAGATGTGTTAAAGGCAAAACCAGAGGATTTATTTATTTAGGCTTCATGTGTGTGAATTGTATGTCATCTAAACATGGTGATGGGAAGTAATTTCTATGAATTGTGTTTTTTTAAATCCTTGGCTTGTTTTCAAACTTGCTTCATTTCTTATGCATCACTATATGAATGGCAATTTTAGTTCACATGCATACAAAAAAGAAATCTTTAGCTAGTTGATTGAAATATTCTAATATTTTGAGAATATGACTATTGCTCTATCCATGAGTGCTTTTTTTCTCTTAGAAGTAAGTGTAAGCATCTCTTACACTTTTTTTTTTTTTAATTTTCAGCTTTAAAATTATTACTGAATGATTGTTAGTGGTTATTGAAATCTTATTTATTAGCTGCCAGACTGAAGCAAATCTATTGGATGGAAGGAAATTAAAAACACTTTTTGCAATTCAATACTGCAGCCATCAACACTTTAATAGAAACTTCTGAAAATGCAGCTGAAACTTGAATCTCTTCTCTTGTTCCTATCACCAGCTACCAGCTCAACAAAATTTCCAGGAACAGATTGTCCTTTTATCAGCCTTGACAACTGATAGTGACCAACAAATGGATTAAAAAGCATACTTTTCCCCTATTTTTTTCTGCATGCTGTAGGGTCTTGTATGGTTTTAAATATTTAATGATGTGGTAAAAGCCTAATCTCCTTGGGGATGGAAGTTCTATGTCACTAAAAGTGTGTGATCACTTCTCTGGCAAACAATGTAGAAATCTTTGTATAATTCTTTCTTGTATGCAAGTAGTGCCATATCATAAGTAGGTATAAATCTGCTGAATAAAATGAGGGAAAAAAATGCCTTAATCCAAAACAAAGCAAGCTTTCATAGTATTGGATGTAATCAGAATTTGCCTGTAATGTGTTTTCTATGGGAAAGGTAGAAAATACTAGATTTTAGTTAAAATTCAGAGATTCCTTAGGAAATTATGTTGAGGAATGTCCAACCAAAACCATTTAGAAAAGTGAAAATAATGTTAAGAGATTTGAATATTGTATCAAGTAGCAACAAAGTTGTAGAAATTCTTGTTCTGTTTTACATCATAACTTATTTGTGGAAAGAGTGTCTTAAGTCTTTCCAGTTCTTTTACAGCAATTGTTTATGGCTAGTCATAAGAGATATAATTTTTTTTTTCTAAATTGAACAAAGTATTGAGAGTTCATTGAAGTAACAAACTAGACACAAAAATCACATTTGTTGTGGGGGGTTTTACACGTTTGTTTCTCTTGAAGCTCAGACATTCAGCAGTCTAAAATTTTTGTCCTGTCACTTATATAAAAATTGCTGCAATATATTTTGCAGCTGCCAGAAGTAACAATCAGTTTTTACATTGAAGTTTTCTTTCTATTCAAACTCTAACATTGCTGTAGCTGACTGTCGGTGAATTAAAATGTGTTCTGTGAATTTTCATTGTCAAAATTCGGACTCTGGGTGTCTTGCATTAATTTTATTAAAATGGAGATAGTCTTGAGGTTAGGAAATGTGTATTAATATATTGGTTCTCTGAATTAAAACTATCAAATTATTTGAGTATAAAGATTAGAGGCATTTCCAAATATTTTCTGAAGTTAGAGGGAAAAAAATCCATATGGAAACACTGAGACAGCACTAAACCCAGCTCCCAGTGGAAGGGAAAACATGTAAAATAGAAGGTTGAAGCGATAGAACAAATAGTATTTAGAGTTCCTGAGAGTTTATAGTATTATCTTTTCAAGATAATTTCACATAAGTGCCAGAAAAGAAGAGTTTATTTGAGTTAAATTGTTCTGCTTTATGATGCCATTCCCACAACAGCTAGCTAGTCAACAGCTTAAGGGTGGTAGTATCTTTCAGATAACTGACAGAAAATTTTGCACAATATTTTGAGTTGCATCTCATCAGTTCAAATAATTTGAATTTATGTTGTTACAGGGAGCATAATTTCTTTGTCCTCTCTCCATCTTTGCAAACATAATGTATGAGTGTAAAATTCTGGAGTAAAGATCTGTATTCAATAGTAGTCATATATGGATGCCTAAGGAAAGTACAAAATCACAGATAATATAAATTGGACTTCCCTCCAGTTCTTTTCCCTTTTTTTAGTAAGGAACTTCCTGCACTAAATATACTTAATATTTGTTTTCAGTAACACAGAGTACTTTTTTCATATACTTTTTTCATATTGATGTTTGTTCACCTGAACCATTATAAACTTTAGTATTCACAGTATCCTTTCACAAGAAGTTGCAGAGATTAGTTTGCTCTGACTCTGGCTCCTGCTGACTTATTTTGATTTTTTTTCTGTCCCTTTATTAAATAACATTATAAATAGCTGATTCCCTTGGAAAAAAATTGTAAGTCATTACTTCATGTGGAATTTAGTCTGTATCCCTTAGTCTGTATTCCTGTTTTCCCTGAATATCTTGCTCCTTTTTTTTTTTTTTTTTTTTTTTTTTGAGATGGGAAGGGCTAGAATTGTATGCAATACTAAAGATATTACTTAGTCAAGATATTAGTTATATTCAAGATATTAGATGAACCATGGATATATACATGATCTTCATATTGTCATCTGCTTTGTCTGAATTCCTAAGATTAAACTGGTTTTGACTGCTATTTAGCAGTTAAATGCTATTTAGCATTTGGTTCTTCTCTAACTGAATATTTACTTACAATATTTCTTATATCATAATAACAAGGTCTTATTCTTGATTGCTAATAGTTTCTCATGTGCTTAATGAACAGTTAGGATATGTTAATGTATTTAAGAATAACAGTTAATTATTATTTTTCTGATAGACATAATTTTATATGTACACACATAGAACCTCATTTGCCTTTTTATCTCCTGGTCATACAGTACCATGGAGTCGCCCAGCAGTTCGTCTCAATTTTCCCTTTAACAGTTTGAGACTTTCAAGATCATCTTGATCCAACCCCTGCCATGGTTGCCAGATTGTTCATGGCCCTATCCAGTCTGTCTCCTTCTTTTGAGGAAGCGTTGTGTTTAACTACCCAAGGAATCCATTCCAAATTTGAAAGCAGAACTGTTAATGATCCAGATGGAAGATGATGAGTCAGGTTTTCTATATGTGGACACTTTGTGCAAAAATATTTTTTAATGGAACCTGAGTGAAAATATTGATCTTAATAAATGATAACTCATCAGCCTAAAAAGCATAGCTCCCTGTGCTGTACTGTATATTTACAGATGATCTAGACAAGATGCAAATACTCAAATTACATAGTCTGGTGATACAAGAGTATTAAAATTAGCAGATATGAAGACAGAAGAACTGGAGAAAGACCTTGCTACTCTGAGGTAATTATGAATAAAAATTATCATAAAGCAGTTCACATAAGATAAATAATTTTAAAATATTCAGTGGTGAACTTCATTCTTTTGAATGTGGTCTTTCAGGTTCTGTGAAAATAACAGGCTAGTGCTTACTACCAATGTTGGTCTCCACATCTCAGAGGGGATTTAATAGAACTGGAAAAAGCACACAGGTGGTGATCAAAATCAGTGAAAGACCAAATAGATGAAGAGGTAAATGAGGAGGTATATGGTAAGGGTGTATTCCCTGTGTGGGACTGAAAGGTGAACAGGGAGCAACTATACACTGCCTTCCTGTACAAGGGTTAATGAACCTCAACTGGGACTAGCAAAAGACAAACTGGAAACAAAGATGTGCTTCCCACAGCATGGAATTAGGTTACAATTTGCTTTATGAGTGTTATGGGTGGTAAATTTTTAATGGTTCAGAAAAATTCTGATGAACTTGGAGACAGAAAAAGTCTTAAATACCATCCTTGGCACTCTGTGTTTTGTGTCCCCAGAAAATATTCTGGCAAGGGTGATCATATGCTTTCTGTGTCTTTGTATTTTTCCCTGGACATCAGCTGCTGGCAATAGTCAGGGACAGAAGATTGGACTAGGTGCTTCTTTGATCTGATGCAGCATGTCTCCTCTTCTTATTAGCTGTCTGTGCTATCTGCTTTTCTCCTGTCTAACCTATTTTTTTTTCTGCTGCAAATTAAGTTGATATTTTTGGATTTGTCCCAACTTTAAATACCTTTGCCAAAGTTCCATTTTGTTCTTTAATACCTGCCTTCCATTTCAAACCTTGAAGGACCTTGGATTAGGAGCTCAAGTTTCAGTCACTGTTGCTTGAAGCCACCTTCAACTGCAGCTATAAAACAAGTGCCTACTCTGACCAACCCACATTGTTGACTGGAGCTCTTGGACCTTTGTAGTTTCCAGCACCAATATTTTTTAGGGACAAAGTGGATAGGCAGTCTTAGATGAGATATACCTATCTCCTTTGTTGTTGTGTGTTGTACTTGTAGATTTGATGTTGCCTGAGCCCATGTGATCATTATGGAATATTCTGTGGACAAGAGAGACTTCCTGGCACTGTACAGAACCTCTCTCTACAGCCATGCCAAACTGAAGATAAAGTAGTAACTTGTGCTGCTCTGCTGGCAGTATATCATATGTTTATTCACCTGCCTTACTGCCACTTTCCTTCACCAGAGCCAGGCACCAAGCCATTTCCCACCTCTCCTGTCATTTGGCATAAGGACCCATTTATGTGGCTGTGTCCTACCCTCTGGTGCTAGGGATGTTGACAGAAGTGTTGAATTGGTCTTGGCAAGAGTGTCACTGTGGTTTTTCATCTTCTCTTTGTGCCTGACTTTTTTAACATTCTTGATCTGCTGCTGAAAAGTACAATGTTCCTTGAACAACTGAGGTGTTACTGCATAAATGTGATGGTATTGTAATGTGATGGTGTGTCTTTCCTCCTTAACTCTTTCAGGGATTGCTGTGTTGTGTGGCAGGATGGGTGAGGAGGCCTATCAGAGTTTGGTAGATGTCCTGCACAATGTGGACTCCTTC